TTTTCCCCCCCCCCCCCCCCTCCCTCCCTCCTTCCTTCCTTCCTTCTTTTTTTTTTTTTTTCTGTTTTTTTCTATCCCCTTCGGCCGCTCCAGGACACGATGTGCTCGCGAAGGCCAAGACCGGGACGGGCAAGACCCTGTCCTTCCTGTTCCCCGCCATCGAAGGGGTCGCGCGCACCCCTCGCGCTCAGCGCAAGGGCATCTGGGTGTTGATCATCAGCCCCACCCGCGAGCTCGCCCAGCAGATCGCCGACGAGGCGAACCAAGTGCTGGTGAGAACAAATAGTTGGGGGCGACTTTTCTTTTTGCGGAGGGAGGAGAAGGGCGTGCGGAGGGCGTGGGCGCACTTATGTTTTGCATGTCTTCGCGGCTAGGCCATTGATCACACGCGTCCTCGAGAGGACGGAGCATTGTTCCCACAGCGGGGGGAGGGGTAGGTTGATCGCATCCTCCTCGTGCATGCCTGCAGTCTTGACACCACAGGGGGGGGGGGGCGAGATGCCTCGTCACTGCTGTGCTCGCCTTGGCAGTTGGTACTTTTGGCAGACCCCTGCGGCTGTAAGGGATGGGTGCGGACTACGCTCCCTATTTCGCCCATCAGAGGACGTGGAGGGCAGAAGAGTGTCCGGAGGAAATGCACGACAGACAGAAAAACGAACACAGTAGCGGTCAGAGAAAACGGGGCCCCGCGATGTGCAAACGCACGCGCCGTATGTACCGTATTTTCACGCGCGGCGGTGACCGGTTTGGGTGCGTTCCAGGAGTGCACCATGCTGCTTGGAATATTGCGTGCAAGTTTGTGAGCGTGTCGTTCTTTTTGTGTGCTGTATTCGAAGGTTTTTGCTCACGGGCCTCGTGTGTCAAGCCGAGTCCCGAACCTCGTGCTGGCCTTCTTCGTGTCTAGCGTCCAGGCCTGTGCCGGAGAACCGATGTCTCTTGTGGGCCACATGAAAAGACGTATCCCAACGCGTTTTGCTTTTTGTCTTGAGGGCAAATGTCCTCGCTCGAACATGAGCCGGTTGATATGCACGCAAGCATCTTTTGCCCCCCCCCCCCCCCCTCTCTCCACACACACGCACGCTCCCGTCGATTGTCCCAGTCCTGGGTTCCGCCTGAAACACTCACAACTCAATCAGCAATCGCTCCATTCGTCCGAGATTTCACGCACATACACAGACCTCACCCCCCCCACCCCCACCCCAACCCGCCTTCGCCTTCTTCAATGGGAAAACCTATAGACCTTCCACGACATGTCTCTCATCTGCGTGGTGGGCGGGACCAACATCAAGGCCGACATCCGGGGCTTCCGCGACAGGCCCGACATCGTGGTCGCCACCCCCGGGCGCCTGAACGACCACCTGGACAACAACGGCCTCGCCAAAGACATGGCCGGCCTCTCCCACCTCATCTTTGACGAGGCTGACCAGGTGAGAAGTAAGAGATCGATCGCTCAGCAGCGTTTGTGAATGAGGTCGGCGGGGGGGGGGGGGAGGGGGGGGGGG